CAATGATATAATGACTGTGTGTCGTATGCAAGTGCTAGTCTGTCAAAGTTTTAGAAAACATTTTTTCGGTTCAAATCGTATTTTATTAAAAAAAATTATCTTAAAATTAAAAACAAGTTCAGTAACCCTCTTTCAAAAATTTTGATGTGCAATTTTCCAGAACTCAAGTTTTCATGACACCCATCACACTTTCTTCGTCGGCATATCTCTAGAAGTATTACTTGAGAAAAGGAGCGATATGAGTGCTTTTCATGTCCTTAGAATCATTTGAGTTGATGACAAAGATTATATTAAATAATCAGTTCTTTATCATTGTTTTGAGTATACGACCACTAGTGTCAGTTTAGGGTATTACATTAGTAAGCCTATTCATATGTTAAAGTAAATGCACAAGGAGATTCAAGAACTTCTTGATGTATAGTTATTTAGTGTACTGATCGAGCTTTTCAGATACTTCTCTTTTAAAAATCATAGAAAATCTCATGTCTATGATATTACTTTAATATTTTATACTTAAGAAGACCAACAATGAAAATGCACAGTAAGTTTCACGTTAATACTCACTTTTCACCACCACAATTTAGCCTTATTCAAAAATACTGATGAAGCATATTCTATCTAGCATATAGAACCTAGATAGACTTCGAGTTTATGTGTACATGCAAACTATCTATTTTACGAATTTGTCAATTTTTATTCTCAAATTAACAATAAAGACAAGATTTTAAGTATCGATTTATTTTTTGCGAAGTTATCGATGCGCTAGCAGCGAGATAAAAATAAAAAATTAACTTGGAATTTTAAATACGTTACTTTACTTTACTTTACTTTACTATTCGGGTAAAGTAGATCTACTTTACTTTGCCGGGTAAAGTAAAGTCAACTAATTTACTTTACTCAGTAAAGTAAAGTATACATATTCTACTTTACCCGTTAAAGTAAAGATAAAGTGCCACCCCTAGTCATCGTCTTCAACTTAGACCGCATACCAGATACTGCTGGGATAATCTTGATTTCGTATTAATAATGATGGATCCACAAATGGAGAATAAAGAAGACATAGTATGTGAATCAATCTATGGACTTTGCATCAAGTGGATGGGAAAAAGTGTTAGAGCGACAAATAGTGCCATAAAAGTCGTGGTTGTCATAATGAGGTATGGAAGCATTGTTAAGTCGAGTAGATACGTAAGAGGTTTCCAGGCTTGCTCGATGAAAGGTTTTTCCTCTAGTGCAACATCGATGATAGATTTGTTGGGATTTGCTTTTTCGAAAAGCGCCTTGCAAAAAATTTGATGTGTTTCGGACAGTAAAAAGAACACTATGATAAGAATGACAAAAGAGCTGACGGCTAAAAGAACGAAAGTACTACGCCAGCCGAATGCTTCAGAGAGTGCACCACCAATCAAGGCACCAATCACTGGGCCGATTAGAAATGGCACAAAAAAAATTCCTGTTGCCGAGGCTCTTGTTTTCGCTGGATATATATCGGATATCACTGCCTGGCCTACCACTATTGTTGCGGATGCAGACGCACCTTGTAGCGTTCGAAACGCAATAAGAAAGATTATATTAGGAGAAAATATACACGCAACCGAGGCTATCGTGACCAGAAAAAGTGCGACGATCAAAGGAGTCTTACGGCCGAATCGATCTGTAATTGGCCCCCAAAGCAGACTTAAAACTCCGTTCATAATCAAATAGATCGATACACTGAGGGTGACAAGTGTCGTAGTTGTGTTCAAGTCTTTTTGAATAGTGCTGAGTGCAGGCAAGTAGATTGTGTCACAAAACGGGAGTAGAAACGCTGCAGCTGAAACAACTCCAAGTATCACTTTCCGCCTTAAGCTTGTGCGTATGTCATAAATTGAACACTTTTCGATGACACTAGGCACCGGCTGTTGGGATATGTCTGGTTGATCCTCAGGAAAACTTGTTACGTGAATTGATGCTTCACGTGGAGGCAGTGGAAATTTCTGATCTTTATTGTTTGTGCTTTCATGAGTGTTAGTTTGTGCTTCAGGTATGTTGTCTGTCTCGACGTGAGCATCAACATTGTGGCCATCAGTATTCGAAGTCATTTATAAGTAAAAATTGTCAGTCAAATAATTGTGAAGAACGCACGTATTATTCTCCTCAACAAGGAAACGTACTCGCTTTCTTGTTGTTGCTGTTATCTTACTCTGATTAGGTTTTAGTTACGGTAAAGTATTTCCTTCAGGACCACACATTCTGTACTTTGCTGCATTGCGCTCTTTCGTCTAAATATAAAATGTATATGACTTTTGTGAAACATGATCTGAAAGGAGTGTTGAAGTATGTAGGATAGACATTTGCACCCCTCCCCCGGCCCCCAGCGCCTCCGACAGACCATGACAGACGTGCTTCATAGGCGTCACAGACTGTAACAGACTGGTTCTAAAGACAACACGAACCATGGCAGACTTTATTAGTATAAGATTAATGGCCACATATCAGTAAGATCTCATTGGAATAGATGAACTGCGATCTGATTGTAGTTCTGGAGGACTGATTATAGAGTTGTGAACTAATATATCACAAAATAGATGGAACAAAACAATTTCTATATTATCAGTGGCAAGAGCTATATCGTGTTTCACATTTTAATTCCATGGGGGTTGGGCTAACAGCTTTTTCTTGTTTATCTACACTCTAAAAAAAATCGTTTTTTCCTGAACCCCCAAAAAAGGTTCTGGAGATTTCTAAAAGCGTCTAAAGGTGTCAAAACTCTCAAAAAAGGATAAAAAAAATCTACGAAACCTTTAAAGGTTCTTACGGTGTATTGAGGATAAGAACCTTTTCCCACGAAGCCTTTTTTTAAGTTCCGTACTCTGTAAAAAAAGAAGGTGTCATACTGAACCTTTTAGGGTTCTAGATTTGCGTACCATTTTCAGAACCATTTAAGGTTCAAGCAAACTCTGATTCGAACTGGAACTTTTTTTCTGCTGTAAAAAAAGGTTTTGTTCCAATAGAAACCAGTCCCTTCAACACACTGAATCAAGTTCTATTGATATGATCAAGGCCTTTTCAAAAAGCCACCCATATAGCCGGTTTTATGAAATAATGGACATTGCAATACATTATTTTGCAATAGAAATGCAATGTATAGAATTACATAATAATACATGAAACAGGTTGCATTATCATGCAATTGCATACATTATTATTATTTATAATACATTGTAATGCATTGAAAACTACATACGTGGCACTCGCTTTACGAGATTTACATAATCGTTTTAAATCTATATTCTATTCACCATAATAGTATCTCTGTGGTCATGTACATCTATCCCCTAACGTATCCCCTATCTATATCTATCCCCTTAACTTAACCCCTTAACCTTAATCTATCGCCTTAACTTAACCCCTTAACTTTCATCTACCCTCTGGTCTATATCTATCTTCTTATTTACATCTGTCCCCTAACGTATTATTTGGATCATATCGATACAAATCTAAAACAAAAGACAATTAATGAATAAATAAGTTTGTTATTATTGAATTCGAACTTACCATTTGTATTATGTCGAATTGTATTCGAAACCGAGAACAGTTCAAGAACACATAGATGACATAAGGCTGTTTCAATTGTATTAAACTGCTTTCAGATTTTGAAAAGGAAATGATGCATAGAAGAAATGATTCTCGATCGAATCAGTTATACTTGATATTGCGAGCAGTTTTACTTCACTCAATGCATCAGAAACTGAGCAATGATGAAGATGGAAAACGAAAATGGGAGTACTGAAAAATTCTTTTGGGAGGTTTGAGGACTGTGACCACTTTCATTCTACAGAAAATTCTAAAAACATTCAAAACTCTAGTAGTCTTTCGCTGAATCAAATAAAAACTCGATCGGATTTTGGCTTGTTATTGTACGTTTTCGCGATCGAGTATACTCGGAAACTCTTCGGTTTGCCTGGGGAAAGATGTTGGAAACTGAAAGGGTAATCTGGTGCACCTCACCAGACTTTCACTCTAGTTTTTGATAGTGTAAGTATCCTAGAATAGCCCGGTGATTTCTGAAAATACGATTAGGTTTCCAATATCAGGAAAAATGAATTCCAAAATACTCTGAGCATAGTAACACAGTTTACATTTTTTATTAGCTCTTTAACTTGTGCGACTCTTATTGAAAAAACCATGATACACAGAAAGCTGCGATAAATCAAACCTCTACCTTTCAAATCACCTTTTACAATAACTCTTTTACGAAAATGATGAATTTTCTAATTTAAAAACTTTACTCTAAATAATGCATTGAAATGCATTGAATGATAATGGCTTATCTTAAGTTAATCCATAATTCCACGTGTTTTATGAAATAATGGAAAATAACGGGTCATTTTCCATTATTTATCTATTATCCTGTGCATTGGCAGGACAGTTGAAATGATGCACTTCATCTCTTACAAGTGAGATTCACTGCTATCATACCTAAAAAACAACCTATACGTTCACGTTTATAATTATAGCCCCTCAGACGTGCTTTCACCTAGCCAACAGCAGCCATTGCATTCTCTTTCAAAAAATGCTGATATTTCCTATCCACGCGACCTTAAATAGAGATAATAATGATTTATTCTATACGATAAAACCTACGAGTCAGTTATTAATCGAGATAAACCTAAATAGAAAACGAAAAAAAATGATTTTCTATTTAAATAAAAGCTTATCGTTCAGTTAATAATTGAGATAAACCTGAATAGAATGGTGTGGGTGTGCTTGAATAGAAGATTTGACCACACACACACACACACGCACACAAAAGACCTATTTTTGCGAACATAATGATTTTTCACAATAAAACTATAAATCTCAAATTGTAATGCTGTTAGTCAAATTTAAGAAATAAAGCTGTTTTTTGGCAAAATAGGTCTTTAATAGCCGAAAGACTTGCAATGGAATAATAAACAAAGAAACTTTAGACGTTATATTAACGACTAAGCGGTCGGTTAACCACTATTCTTAACGAATTAAGTGGCGTTTATTGTTTGCCTTTAATTGTTCTTATTCGATAAGTCAAATTATTCGAGATTTACATTAAGAAAGTCGCGTTCAAGAAATAATTTATCTTAGTTCAAGCGACTTGCGCTAGAACCATCTTTGGAAAAAAGGTTCAGCTTAAAAAAAATGGTGCAACATCGAACTCTTTTAAACATCCGGAACTATTTATTATCTGGCATGGTTCTTTAAACTAGCTAGAACCCGCGATGGTTTATTAATAAACGAATGAAACCTTAAAAGGTTCAGTATCTTCGCTAGAACCATAAATGGTTTCATATAACACCTTTTTTTTAAGAGAGTACAACATTCTATTTATGACAAATAGAATCAAGCTGAAAGTATGTACCTGTAAATAATACTATAAGACTTATAGTCTTACAGCTGTTTTTCCGGATAGCCGGATATTTTAATTTTTTACTAAAAATATGCTTTAGTGGTTGTTGTGCGTAAAGGATATCTATGAATGTTTCGATAGGCAATCTACTTTATTTTTAATAGAAATATTCATTATACATAAATTATAATTCATCAAAATACAAAATTTATTTTACACGTGTTCGTTTACTTTTATTGATCGTTTTTGTTCGATTATGACATCTTGATAATGATGATTTCATTTCATAATCGTCATCCGTTGATAATCGACCGGGTGATAATGTCAAATTTGTTGATGATATCAATGGACTTGATGCACCGATACCTAAGATGTTCTTCTTCTTATTGTTGTTTTTCTTTTGCTTCTTATGGTCTCGTTCATTCGATTTTGATGATTTAGTGCTTGCCATCGATGTTTGATGGCTTTGATAATGACTATTTTTAGCAAAACGAGCTGTTATTATATCATCGGTTAATAGTTTTGAACCTAAAACAAAAATGCAATTGGATTCATTGTTAAAAACAGAACATTTTTGTTTTTCATCTTACCTTTAGACCGTGATGATGTGCTAGTATCATCATCTTGAAAATCATAAGTACTCAATTTTTTCGTCCGAGTTTTTTTCTTTTGTTTGTCAGCCGATGCCATTATAATAGGTTGGCGTGCAATATCAATTTTTTTCTTTTGTTTCTTTGTTTTCGTGTTTGTCTGAGTAAAAAATGCATGTGTATCAAAAATACCAGTTGAACTAAATAAAGGTGGCGGAGGTGGTGGTGGTAACATTAACTTTTTAAATTTAGTTTTCTTTTTTCTATCTTCTGGTTTCGGTGATGAACATTGATCAGGATCAATATTCTTCAAGAGAAAATACATTAGAAAATAAAATGAAATTAGAAAAACCTACAAATGACATATGGCTAATATTTCCTAATGTTTTATTGACTAGACGATGTGGTTTTACAATCGTATCATCAACCGCTAGATGAAGTTGATCCGTTGGCATTAAACGACACCTAAAATAAAATAAATGTTATTGTTTTTGTAAAATATTTTTATTCAAAAAATTTACGGAATAGGTGGTGGTGTATGAAATGGAATAATAATATCATCAGCTGGAGTTGGTGGTAGTACTAGGAGAGGGGAAAAGAATATAAAACATAGATATTTGTAAATGTTAACTGCTTACAAGGTCGAACAAATTCATGTTCTTGAATCTCATCAACTATATTCTCTGTTATAATTGGAGGTGGTTCATTGAGAAGATAATCATGAATGATAGGTATTGAAATATTTACAGATTGATTACGTTTAGATAATAATTCTTCTTGATCACGTTGAATTTGTAAGTTTCGATAAGCATCTCCGATACCTTTTCTCCATTGTTGTTCGATAGTTAATTTCAATCGTTTTCGCTGTTTTTTATTATTTACAGGTTGAGTTTTAATTAAACTTTCATTGTAACATGGATGAAAGTAAGCATCACCGATAAGAAGTTTTGGTCTAAGACGAATTAATTGTTTCTTAACTCGATAGTATTCTCTTCGAACTTTTTTTTGTTCAGTTTGACACAAGGCAATACATGAAATTAAATTCTAAAATGAAAACTATGAGATTGAATATTCTACAGGAGAATGAAACTGACTTGATCGATTTGAGAAACATCAACGGGTGTTATCTGTCGAAGTATTTCAGTGATATCATGTTCGACGCAATCGATTTGATGACGTAATTGTTTACTATGTTCACGACGTTGAGCAAGATGTAATTCATTTGCAATACGGACTAAATTATTTAGAAAACATTTTTTCAGAGAAAAAGTTTAAGATTTTACTTACTGCGATATTGATTAAATAGTGATGGGTTCCATGGCCACCATTTTTGTTCAATTGCCATCGTTACACAAGCAATAATTAATTACACGAACAAAAAAGAGAACAATTGAGCAAATGCATCCGCAAACTATTGAACAAAGACCCGCGCCGATCAGCTGTTTTTATCAAATTATTATTGGTTATATAAAAAATTCGTTCATGCAAAAACTTAAAATATTATATAGAAATAGAAATCATACAAAGTTATTCTGAAGATTTGCATGTAAAAATAGGCAAATATTATTTTCAATAGAGGGCGCTTTGTGCGTTCGAAATTCACCGATTGTTTTTAATCCAGATTTGTATGAGTCATGCACGCTCCATGACAGAAAAAGCATTCACGATAAAATATGAACTCACATTTGATTGAGATGCTCTCCCGTTATTTGTATCATATCGACATTATTTATGCAACATAGCACTATGTCGATAACTTTAAGGTCTTCATGTGACATACTTCTCCGTCGGTGGTGTAACCCTAGTCGAGCTTCTTTCTTCATGCGCTTGGAAGACTTAAGCTCAAGATGTGCCCATAGCGCATGACTTTCTTGCTCAAAACAAGCGCTTTAATGTTTGCATGAGTTACAAAAAAATGCAACTATAATTTTTTATTAAAAGTTGAGTTATTGTGAATGTAAAATTCAAAAAAAAAGTTGAGAAAGTTCTTTAATAACAGAAACGCTTAGATAAAAATTCAAGCGCTTGAACAAGAAGTTTAAGAACTTGAGCTCACCGAAAGGGTTCATGTCTTGCCTCAAGATTATGTATACTAAATGAAAATAATTACGTGATAATATATAGATGCAGCAAATGAATTTATTTATTTTTTATTTCAAATTAAGTTAAGGTTTCGACATAATGGAAAATGTTATAGGTTATTATGTTGAATCATGATAATCAAAATTCATTATGACGTTAGAAATCATGATGATCTTCTATATCAAAGTTCCAGCAGTAGACAAAAAATCGATCGGTGAGATAAATGTTCATTTCAAGCGGAAAAGTGTCGTTCAGGTCAAAAATGAATTTTTTCCGTTCTGCCTATAACCGAAGACAAGCTATATAAGTACACGTCAGCGTGTGTATACTAAATTTCTATCAAATACTTTTGTCGTCACTGTTCAGAAAATATATCCTTGCATATACAACATACCCGATGCTATACACAACTTTACAAACACCAAATATGAGTAGTTTTCATTTTCATTTTCGTTCTTTACATTTCTTCTTTCCCAACGATTATTTGAAAACAAAACTTTTTACCAGGTCTTTGTCATTCATCACGGGTCATCACAAAACTCTGAAAGATTTCTCTTATATCGTAAATGATTTTTGGCACCACATCCTCATACAAATTTACCGATCTTTCTTTTAACTAAAGTAAACCATAACCTAACCGACTGTAAACTTTCCAGCATCATTTCTCACTTATCGCGAAAAAATGTAAGTTCATTTCAATTACATATCAACACATTTTTCTTCTGAAAGGAAAATGATATTTCATTTATCAGCTGCCAACTCATTTTTCTGCTAGCGAATATACATGGCACAGTTAACATGAGAAGTTCAGTTGAGATTGGAATGCCCGAAAACAATAATTAATCGAAAAAATATATTTTCCTTTTTCTTTACTGCTAGTGATAATACATTATAGAAAACACAATAGAAAAGAAATATTTCTCAAATAAATTCGATGACACCATGTCCCCGCTGATTAAAAAATCTAGGTAGAGTTGATTTATTCCAAAACTCATCGTAAAACGATGTGAAGAATAATTTTCAACAACGAACTTTCTAAAGTAATATCTCAACAAAAATTCCATTAAAAAAATTAGCAAAAAAAACTTCCAAACTCAACCAAATTCCAAAGTCACCTGCCATATATATGTATCCTCACTTTCGATCTTAAACGGAAGTACTTTTCTCCTATAGGAAAAATGATATCTCATTTATCCAAAGCATTTTCCCCATTGAATATTTCATTTATCCACTGCAAATTCATTTGTAGTGGTGTGACGTGGTCGGGGAAACGGCAAATGTTTGTTACTGTTCATTTATTTAATGTGTTTATCGTAAGTTTAGTTTTCAAGCATTTTTGACCTGAACGACATTTTTCCGCTTGAAACGAGCATTTATGTCATCGATCAGATATTTGTCTAATCCTCGAGTTATAAGGGAAACATGAAAAAAATATTAGTTTTTGCTGACATGTGAGAAGAAAAATGAATTTTTGGACTATAGAACAGCAAAAGAAAAAGGGTCATGTGAAGTCAACTAGAGAGAATAGCTAAAGCAGTGTGGTTGACGTCATATGGAGCGAATTACCCAATCAAATGCGAGCCCATATTTTATTGTGAATTTTTTTTCTCATTTCCTCGCTTATCATCATTAGTGATCATGAAAAGTAGATATAAGCATCTTTTCTGTCATTTTATGTCCGCTAGACACTTTTTGTTTTTGTAAATCCTTAATCACAAGAGCAGCAACAATAACAAGACAAAAAAAAGAAAAGAAAAGAGGTATTGAGTCTAGTTTAAAAAAGAAAATGTTGGTTAAGTTTTATTTAGTTTGTATTAAGAACAAAAGTGAACTATGAATGAATGTCCATCATATCAGCTGTTGTTTGTAAATCGCCTTCAGTTGGTTTAGCCACGTGAATTTTTTCTGGATACATATTTTCAAGTACACGTATACCTTTGGCATCAATAATTCGTACGAATACACAATGCGGATAGGCAGCCATACGTTTGCCAAGTTCATTAACCATTATTTGTAACATCGCTAATGCTTCTTCAACAGTTAAATCTTCTTTCCATAGACGATCGCCAATACCCAAAGCAAAAAATTGACAAAAACCATGAGCAACAACATTAGCTGAAATCATAGCGCCTAAATAATCAATCGAATAGAGTTGTACACGTTGTTGATCACGTTCATTTGTTGAAAAACCACCAACAACCAGATTGGCTAAGAATGAATTTCTCGAACGAAGCGATGTTGCCATTTCATGACGAGTAAAATTGGCGCATGCATGTGGAGATAATTCAATGCCATTGATCATTTTGTATAATTGAATATTTTTACCAACATATTCAGCAAATTGAACAACATCACCAGGCTCACCAGCTAGAAAAGAAAAAGTTCACAAGTAGAAAAAAAAAGAAGACCTATTTGAGTTTGTCGTACCAGCAAGCATAGCGCAATGTTCACTTAATTTAAATAATCGATTTGTATCAAATTTCATGTTAAGAATACCATATTTTGTTGTATTGGTATCCTGTGCTAATATAACGAAATCTTTGCCACGAATACCGATGATTGATTCAACCATTTTGTTTTGCTTTTTTCAACTAGATATATTATAATCTGAAAAAAAGAAACAACAACTACGAACAATATCTAGAAGTGCAATCCAATCGAAAGAATAACTGATACTAAGGGAAAACAAAATTGAAGTAATAACAGAAACAAAATCTACCAAAACTTCCAACTGCTATTTTTTTTCTCTTGTTGACCTGTTGATGAATTATAATCGGATGAAAAATCCGGCGTTTGAAGACCCATATCCGGTGAACCCAATGAAAAATCTGTTGATGAACTAAATTCATTTGATTTCATTGATGCAACAGCAGCAGCACCTTCTTGTCCAAGTTTATTGATAATATAATTACTTGAATCAATAAAACGTTCAACACAATGTGCTAAACATGTTTCAGTTTTCCCATCAAGCCTCGATGATATACTAGGTCCACAGATTTCCCAACATTGATCAGTTAATGAATGTACAACAGTTTGAAAACGTTGTTTTTGATTTTCCTGTTCAATAAATGAGGCTAACTGAGGATCGCCTATATTACCAGCCCCTGATAAATCCATCGATCTAGAAAAAGAAGCCATTTATTTGTTTATTTTTTGTTAATATAGATTTATATATTTATAAAGAAAAGACTTTATCGTTGAATAACAATTAAGGATTTATCTTTGTACAAGCAAAAAGCACACACACACACACTGTTGTTACAAGACGGAGACACAAAACAAACGATAAGAGAAAAGACGAAAGTTTTTATTTGTCAAAAAATTGTATCAGATTGTTTATGCGATTTGGATTGCCGGCTTTCAATGCTCGTATTGAATCCTACAGAAAAATAAAATAGAAATCACATGACTCAATAGAAATTTTGAATTTTACTCGTTCCATCGCATGTGCATTCATTTGTGTTGCTGATTGTTCAAACATTGATTTTCGATTTGATCGAACATCAACAGAAGATATCGGTTTTCGAACAATAACCGGTGATTGAAGAGGAGATCGTTGATCGGATTCATCAGGATGATTCTTTTCATTCGAGACTAATTGGCTAAAAATAATAAAAATATTTATCATGGTGTATGTGGCTTTTTACATCTGTCCTTAAGTCTTTGCTTGTTTTTACTAATAGCTCAAACTATATAATGACACGAAATCATTTCGAGGAAGTTGAAGGTCAAGGTCCAAAAGCTTTCATAATTAAACGAAAAAACTCGACGGACGTAAATAATCTCTCTGAGAAAACCTTCTTCAGTAGTCTATTGCTATTCGATGAATAATACTCGTGGGATCGATAAGGAGTGAATGTGCTTTTGCTTTATCATCACTTACAATTTATTTTGTTTTTGTTTGGCAATATCAATCCATGATGGTGTAGGTTTATTAGTATCATTGGTTGCAACTTTATTATTAGCTGATAAATGAACACCAACAATAGTTTTCCGACGATTTGGTGTTGGTGGTGTAGGAATCGTTTCAATCGGAATTAATGGTGCATGGTCGGATTGCAAAAATGAACATGGAGCTGCATGAAGTTCTTCTATGGGAGCAGGTGGGGTAGGCTCTGGCACTGTTTCTTCGTTCGGTCGAACTTTCCGAATTGAACCACGTTTTTTTAATTGATTAAAAACATTTTCGAATTCATTCGTCATTTGTTTATCGGTACTTGTTGATGCATGCATTGTTATAGGTCTTAAACGTGGTGTTGACGGAGGATGTTCTCTTGTTTTGACTTCATCCTCATTTGACGATGATTGCATGTTACGTTTTGGACGTTTAAAAACATCTAAATTATCATAAATATGTTCTTGAGATGATGAGCGCGACCTTGAATCGGCTGGACTTGCACTTTTGAAATTTCTCTGTTCATCAATATTCTCATTTTGTACTGAAAGATCAATTAATGATGATTTATTCTCAACAGGCTTATTCGTCGATATAACATTCTCATGAGTATCTTCTTTTTTCGGATTTAAATTTATTCGATTTGTTAATTTATCGTCATGATTTTCTTGAACACGTTTAAAACTTAACGATCGTTGAATAGGAGTACCAAATGCTGGTACAACGGTTGATTGAGCAGGGGATGACGATTCCGTATTTGTATTCGTTGCCAATAATATATTGTCAGCTGAACGATCACGAGAACGTACTGATATACGAAGACGTGCTCGAGCTGTATCCAAATCTGATAGATCAATGAGTGGTTGCGGTTTTTTAGGCTAGAATAAATAATCTGCATTGTAGATACTCGACGGAAAAAAAAATAGTCTGCTCGCTACTAGAATAGCGATAGAAAACGTTCTCATATTTACCTCTGTACGTGTTGTTAAAAGAATTGATTGTTCCTCTTCCGGTGTTGATGATATAGCTGAAAATATTAAATTTATTGATAGAAAAAAAAATTTAGCAAAAAGAAATAGTTTATCAATTCATCGAAAGTGTACGTAAAATTTAATTCATTTTTTTTGTCGGTGGGTTTGTTCGTGTTGTAGTAGGTAATGAAAAATGGCGCTGTTTCGGCGGTAGAGGTGGTGCAATGTCATCATCTATACTCAAAAATATCTCAAATTTTTATTTTCGTTTAAAATTTATTAGTTAATTCTCCCTTCCCCAATATACCATGTTATTCTTTAACCTATTTATTTTACCTTCGTTTTTCAATGAAAATAAATCAATATCATTATCATTATCATCGATTTCTCGGAGTGTACTTAACTAAAAACAAGCGGGAATAAAAAACACATTAAACTCATTTATTTATTATTTTTACTTTTTGTTTAATTGGTTGTCGTCGTTTATTTTTAACTGAGATTCGATCTCGTGCAGCGGAATGTTCTAATTGTTGACATGTCGATGGTAATGTTGGCAGCGATGGATTTGGTACATCATCCGATGATACAAATGATTCCTATGTAGAAGAAAAAATTGAATTGAAAATTTCTCTTGATTATTTTTTTTCTTACGATTAATGAAGACGATAGATCAACAACTGATGTATACGACGAAGAGCTTTGTGAAGATGCCTTGAAATATTTTTTAATTCAACAAAAGTCATATCATTGTTCTTTCTTTTCTTTTTTTTACACACACACACATATACATGTGCTTATTGTAGTAGATAGTAAAAAATACTTACATTCGAACGGGGAGGTTTTTTTGGAATAACAATCGGTGATGATGATGGTAGTGATCGACGTCCAGCACTAATAACATTACCTGAAGCAGCAAGTTTTTCTACCTATTAAAATAAAAATTCATGTTTGAATGGTTCGAAATAGAAAAGGAAGCAAAATAAAAGTCACTTTTCACCTGAGCTTTCATTGATGGACTCATCGTTGTTCGAGACATTCCTATGGTTTTTTTTCTATCTATCTCTCTGTCTGACTGCTACCATTAGGTTTAGACAAATGTAAATGAAAGTCAACGCTCGTCGGGTTTTTAGTAGAGGGTAATGTTAATGATAAGATGAAAATGCAGCGACAGTACAGAACAAAAGCAACGACAAACAAATCAACCGAAAAAGCAAATGAAAGCGAAGCAGCAGGCGAAACGACGGGAGAAGAAACGAAAAAGAAAACAAGTTGTTACACACATGACGGCGCTGGTCTCAACTGTCACATTTTTTTCTTTTATGAAACAAAATAGCTGATCGAAAACTTTCGTAGCAAATTGTCAACTTATACATCTATATAAGCATGCAAAAATGAAGGGGTTAAACATTTGAGTATAGTTGCTTGCATATATACCTGACATCAAATTTCAAGTAAGTTCTGTGTACAAGAAGAAGAAGAAGAAGAAGCGGATAGTTTGTTGTTTTAGACATATGAAAAAACTGTAATTCTATATTTCATACCTGACTCGTTGCATCATTTGAATTTGTTAATATGGTTTCATTTAAACCATTTTGTGAATTAGTTTTATTTAGACAGGGTAGATGACTAAATATGTTAATGAATAAATAAACATAAGAATGAATAAATAAATGGCTTACTCATCGATTTGTAAATCGCCGGCATGAGAGAAAACTGCTGGACGGCCAATTATCTTGTCACGAAGATATTTAATCATGGACTCCTCTAGAAAAAGAAATATACATAAAAATGTTTTGTTTTCAAAATATTATAATGAAACTATGCAACAAGAAGAAAGCAACATATAGATTAGAATAGTACAGACGACATTAAAAAGCATTATAGTCACCCACCCTCATCAACTACTAATACCATTTCATCATTCATGCTCATTTTTTTTCTGCGAGCTAATTCGCTGCTAAAAAAAGCAATAGTATAAAAATAAATTTTTGAGTTACTTTACCTGTTCAACACTATGAATTTAGTTTTTTTTTGCCTATATCTGAAATGAAAGAAAATTTACATGAATAATTCAAGAACTCCTAATGCATGTATATCATGGTTGAGCTTTTTCTTCAATCTATTATGAGGAAAAAGAAACCGTCTGAGATGGGAAATTAAAACAAAAGACAAATACGAGAGAATCTTGTTTCTTTTTTCTCTAATATTCATTCATACATAGTTATAATGAAATGTACACACAAAACAAATAACAAGTAATGTCGACTCTTAGTATTTATCATACTATTGTTCCATGGATTGATTTTGCATATTAGGTGGTGGTACACCCGGTGGCATCATACCAGGCGGTGGTCGTAAAGTCATTAATGTTGTCATTGCTGCTGCATTAGGTGGTGGGCCTAGTGGCCGCATACCCGGTGGTAAAGCAAATGCCCACGGTGGTGGTGGAATCATACCTGGCATGCCTGGTCTTGGTGGTGCCATATTTGGATTGATAAGACGTGGTGGCATTGGAAATGGTGTCGTTGGCATTTTACCTGATTTAAATGCAGCTGTTGTTTGATCAATCTATGAAAATTGAAATAATAAAAATAATTATGAAATGAAATAAAAATAAATAAACAAACAAACCAATTTTTGAGCTTGTTCCTCCATCCATTTTTGATAATAATCCCGTACATTTTCTTTATGTTTTCTACCTTGACAATGAGTTTTACGTACAGATGGTGAATCGTGTGTTAAATAGGTATCGCAATAATCGCAATAGTATTTTGGCATATTGACTAGAAACCTTCTAGATAATCAACGAGAATTTTTCACGATAGTAGAATAAAGAATAAATGAATGTTACTTGAAAGTGTGTAAAGAAACTTACGCTGACACAAACCAATCAATTAAAAGATTAATATTTTTCGAATCGTATTGGATATTAATAGAGGTCGCCACTGGACATCAACTTGGTGTCTGAAGTCATATTAAGAGGTCTTGTAGAGACTCAATTGAATAAAAAGATAGCATATATTTTTCTATTAGAAACTGTTGACGAGGAGTTAGAATTAACAGTTATTTATTGAGTATGGTACCACTATCAGATTGTTTAATGAATCTTTTGAGTTTTTCTGATACACATAAAATAGATACAATATGAACTAATAGGCTCGACTGAGGGTCGTCACTTCATGTAACCGAATCAATGTTTCTTTTATTGATTCAATGATATTTAGAATGTGACTGTAAGTCTAAGTTTGAGCTAGGAACACGTACACATCCATATGTACATTCTGTCTGCAAATACATCTCTTTCTGTTATTCAAAAAACTATTATATTTGATTAGAAAAAAAGCTATGATATATTGTCAGAGTTAAATGAAATTCGTGAGTAAAAGTTCTATATGAAATCTTCATCGACAATTAGTGCCATCCGTATATTTGAACAATATCCCCTGTATAAGAAAAAGGTCGAGCATTATAATCACTGCGTCGAGGATTATAGCCAATACGTCGAGGATCATAATTATTAGGACGAGGATTATAATTATTATAGCGAGGAATATGCCTATTAGGAAGAGGATTATAATTATTGGGTCGAGCGTCACCCAGAAGGCGCAGCTTGATGATCCGCTGTCCACTCGATTTTTCGGTTCGCTCATAAGAATATCGATTATAGCAAGACAGCAGAATTTCTTCTTCGTTAAAATTTGAAAAATCAGGTGGAATTTCCATGCAATATTCTGACCATTCTGGTGATACATCAATAACGAATAATGTATTGCCTGGAAACGGTTTACTTCTCGATGTCGACGTGAAACTCGGAATATAAAACGGTTGTCTCATAGACTCGTACTTGTTAACTTCACTCTGAGACAAATTCATACCTAAAAAGAATCGTAGTTATTTTATATATGAAAATTTTAATGAGCATTCAAATCAAACCTCTTAATACAGAGCCAGAGTAATATATTGGAGATTTAGCAATAGAGTATTTTAGTTGTTTAATGTATGAACCATAAGTCTTCAGAACACGCGAATCACTACCTAACGCCAAGTTAATAGTATTGTAAAACCAGGCGCCATCGGACGTATATTTCCGAACGCATTCGCGAATAGATGCTGGTTTCTCTCTCTCAGATAACATACCTGAGCAGTATCGTAAGTAGTTTGGGCCTTTGCGAATCACTGGATAAAAATTCGCTATAATATCTGACGGATTTATGTCCGCTGCCTGTAAATAACTTTGTGAATATTCTGTGGCTGCAGGAGAAAAACTAATGAAGCGTGAGTTTGGTCTTTGAGGATCTCTGAAAAATGCGCGTGTCAAATTCGGATTCGTTGCTAATATGTCGCCAACTCTGGGATTAAGCATTGCCATGTATAGTGTTCAGCAGTCAATAAGTAATTATAGAGATGTTGTATTACCTTTGAATTAAAGAATATGCCTGTAATTCGTGAGGATTTTAATACTTTTCATTCAATATAGAGAAACAGGTAGAAGAAAAGTTCGAATCAAATACTTCTATTAAACTATTAACATCTTATTGCTGTTACTGTTTATTTATGAAGCATACGTAGAATCAATAACGGAGCTACAAATTTAGACCTAACAAATATTCTCAGTATCCAGTGCTATATAAAAACCAAACTCGCATGTCATCATGATAAAATACTATTGACCACTGATATGTAATAGAAATAAACTTGTTCCTCTGATAATATTCTAAAAATCTTGAAAGTAGTTTCACTAACCTACCGATTTTTCGTTTACTATCAGCAATATCGAAGTTGCTTCTGACTCGACGCTTTCTTATTGAATTTTTGTTTTTCACGTTAGCACTCATACGTCAAAAATCACTTTCCTTTCTATGACTTCTCTGGTAAACGCAAAATATATTTTAATTAAAAATTCGCCTACTTCTGTTTACTGCTCGATTTCATGGTTACTTTTTCCTATATTGTTTTTCTATGATAGCAAAAGTAAAATTTTTGGAAGTCGCGCACTAAAGAAATATGCAGTGATATTCTCATCAATGAAAGTCTCATTTATTTTGCCAAAATTCATTAGATTCACGAAATCTACCGACCTACTTTAGTTGGATAAAAAGAGATACCAAAGGCCCTAATTATTCTTATGTTGGAGGAAAAATTAGCGACGGCTATTTTGACGTCATGCATTTTTTCAATTCAATCAATAACATGTTTACAGTACCTGTAATAGAAAAAAGGAGATCGTCATCCGATGAAAGTAATTAACAAAACATCAAAATACAATTTTTTTCGATATACTTCCAATTTTCATGCACATGAAGCATTGAAAATGCGTAACCAACGATTCCTACGTCGAGAAATAGCGATGATTTTTCAATCGGTACAAATATCATGTTTTTTTCCATAAGCAAAAACAAAATAAAATCATCTAAAATAGAACGATGAACCAAAATGCAAGTGTTGTTTTTCAATCTCTAAAGTTCGATCGATTTCATTAACTAAGGAAGATCGTTCTTGTGTTCAGACTCTATCTATTATGTAGATCATTGAGGGTGTGCCCATATTATCCATTAAAGCATCGCACTTATACCCTTCTCAGCTATCAATGCATAGGTAGGTGATATTGCATATGGTTGCAATAAAAGCAACAAAATCAAATCTTGTGGGTGTGGGTATCAAACAAGACGCCACTCACACTCACACCCACGCCCTCAAGAGAAGAGAAAAGAGGAAGGGATGATCAGGGAGGCGGAACACCAATATCGGCACAATTATCATTAGTAATATGTAATAACATGTAGAAAGAGCCTTATTTCTAATTTGGTTTGTCGATCTATCGCGCGCACAAGAATGACAACATGGTTACTTAATTGTTGTTATGGGTGAGCTCTTCTATTTCATCTCTCTGTCTCAGTCGCTTTATTAGCATATATCTAAATAGACTAGGTAGCACTCGAGCAATGATCCTTAATGATGATTGCGATTGAATCTTGCATTTTTATGGTACAAATTTGTTACATGCCATACAGTTGCCTTGCGAAATATGGATGTATGTTATTTTTATGAACAAGCAAAAAGATAAAAAGTTAACAACCCAACTCTATTTCTTCTTCATTCATTCTGTCCATGCAATTTAAGAGCAATATTCAGCCAAAATTCGAGTACCTATCCGCTCATCATTGTACGGATCGAAGAAAAACAATAAATACATAAAAGAGAAAAATCCACTACCGAAATCCATAAAAATAACTTAGATACGCCATTCAAATTTGATTAAAATCAAAATAATGAGGTGGAGAACAAACTTTTTTTGTTATGAATATGATCGAAAAGTTTTCTCAATCTTGATTACTCTCAAAATATTCGAAATCTGCACAATGTATAAATTCGATGGCACATTAAACGATACGACAAACATTTTTCGTCTCATGGTGACCAAAATCTCATATCCCGATTTATGGCAGATGTCGGAAAATGACGCCATTTCCTCAGCATATAAACTGTCCATTGTTGCAAATTTACTTTTCTACGTCGTAATTTGAGAAATTTCTTGCCCTATTTTTATTTAATAAAGTCTTTTACTAAAAGATACATAAAAATCGTGTGGTGCACGTGTTAGACTTGTGTGATAAAATTTTGCAGAGTTTATCTGTTCATTTTTGTTCACCACGTGAAAATTATATTCTCTGACTAAATTTGTAAAGAAAAGAAAAAGTTCCATATTAGCTAGTGATTCACCAGGACATGATTTTTTTCCAATTGAAAATGGAATGAATGCTGCAGGACGTCGAACTGATTTGTGATCGTCTGATAAAAATCTTGTTGGATCAAATTGATATGGTTGAGCAAATTGACGTTCATCAACATGAACAGCATAAAAATTGGCAGCTATATACGAATTTTTTGGTATATTATAACCATTGAGTGTTGTATCCTGTAAATTTCGATGCATTGTACTACCACCTAATGTTGCTATATTACCACAACGTTGTATTTCCAGAATAGTTGCTGTTGTATACGGTAGAAATGGTTTATCTTCCATACGTACATATAACTGATTATTATTATGAATCAACATGTATTGATCGATTTCTTGTTGAACTTTTTCTAAAATATGAGCATTTTCAATCATATATACAAGTGCCCACCGTAGTGTTGTTGATGTCGTTTCAGTTCCACCAATAAATAAATTTGTAATTGATGATATTAATTGATCCATATCGAATGTTGAATTTTCTTTTTGGGATAATTGATCATTTTTAGCTTGTTTTAAAAATGCATCAATATAATCCTTGTCTTCACCATCATTATCATCATTATGCTGTTCAACCAGTTGTTTAGCAAATGAGAATATTTGTTTAAAATTTTTTGAAAATTGTTTATAATTTCCGCCAAGTGAACGAATTGGAATAAATCGAAGTAAAGGAAATATTGTTATCCATGAATCATGAGATCCAAGCGTAAAACATTCTTCAATTAGACTAACAATATGACGAAATTTTTTATTATCTTGTGAAAAACGTTGTCCAAATGCAAAACTACAAATAATATTTGACAGACCATGTGTTAATAAACCTTTTATATTCAATGGTTCTCCCTCTTCTTTATCAATAGACGAGAAAACATCTGTTAATTCATCTAAAATTGTATCTTGTAGAAACAATTTACCCATGCCAACTTTTTTTAATGAATCCATAGCAAATTTTCGATGTATTAACCAACGTTCACCAAGGGACTGTTCAGAAGTAACGCCACCTGGTAGGAGACACTAGTAAGGCGATGTTAGGAAAAAAAGTGGCTCACGATAACATAATAGAGCATCAAGTACGTCTTATGAGAGCCGCCGTTCTTTCACTACAAAAAACAATTGAAAATATGATTGTCTTTGAAGCTTAGCTGTCAAGATGTTCCTTTTACAAAGAATTATCTTTAGTGAGATTCTTGCAGAACGATCAGACGAATATGGGCATTATATTTTTTCGAGATATAAGTGTTTCGTATGTTGTGAGTTTGTGGCTTTTTTTCGTGCAAAAATGTGAAACTGGATGGAGTCACTGTAAATATATATATAAAGATTCTTTGCGAATTGATTATGATCTCTAATAAATTCAAGGAGACTGCATGTGGAAATCTCTATCATGGTTTGTGGGGTATGCCTAGGAGAGAAAGAACTAGTGATTCATTTTTCTCATTCATGAACAAGCCTGTTTTACAAAGCAGCCTCACATGTTTCTATTGATATTGAGTCATGCATTATCTTTGGAAAGTTTTGGGCTTTCTTCAGCTCACAGTGATCATTGGTGGATAACAGCAAAGAGGTGCTTTTAGTCTTCTTTAGTCGATTCGCTGAAGACAATTAGCAGTCGGCTGAAATGCACGAAAGAACCACTTTATTACTTGAACTTTCGTATTTCTGTACTGGTACCAACATATGGTCACTGAGATACACATATGCAGTTATAAAATAGCATCATTAACAGCTGAAAATACTCATCTGTTCATAACTATTGGTGTATTGTGACATTACCAAAACAAAGGGGATGGGAGTTCTTAAAAAAGTGACAAAATATGACAAGATGGAATTCAATAGCCTAAATAGGTAAAAAAGAAAAGCAAGACGATGCCGTTTTCGAACAATCTTCATCAGCATACGTTAAACCTTTACCGTGGAAATGTTCTTCAAAAATAAATGGTTGTGCTCGTGCTGAATAATTATCATCCATAAATGCTTCTTTAATAAGTGAATAATTATTTAATACAATTACTAGTTGTTGTCCAAAATAACAATGCATTATATCACTTTTAGATTGTTGACACCATTTCATTAATGTTTCTTGTGGATGTTTACCAAGGTGTAATAAATGACCGAAAAGAGGTAATGCATAAATTGGTGGTCCAGGTGGAAGATTTTTGGACTTTTTGAAAATCAAATAAATAATATAAACAGAGCATGTTATAAGAGATAATACTAAAAACATTATGAGCTGATACTTGATGTTTTTGCAGAAAATTTGTCATTTAAATACAACACACTATATGATAGTATCATTATGACAGAGTAGAAATAATCCATTCGATTTCTAACGTCAGCAAAATATTATGACAGGTTACCGTTGTGCACTGTTAGTCAACGGTTACAACGCATAAACCTTATCAAATAACTTTCAAACTATGCGAAATGTACTTAAGGGGTTTCTTTTCTTTCTATAAATAATAGTTCTGACGGGTATCACAGAATAGATTGTATTATATCTTATTGCATTTCACTCCCATTCCTTATTCGTACGAAGAGCTCATTCATATGTAAAACAAATATAGAATTTAAAACTCCACAAAACTACGAACCTTAATTTAAAACAAAAACGTTTTCCTTAACAATCATAATACGTTGATGTGTATATATATATATCATATGTCGAAACTATGGTAACATAAAAAAGAAAAAACCTGACATCGTAAGTACACGATCGCAAGTACAAGCCTAAAACTTAGTGTCTTTACGCTAAAATATGCTTAAAAATATAGAAAAGCAGTTCTATGTGCAACTAAATAAAGCTTTATATGTCACCGTGTTACATCTTTATTTCATCCGGGGTGTGAGTGTGAGTGGGATTCTGTACCGGGATCATCGATACCCGCACCCTTAAGATAGCAATAATAATAATTTTTGAAAACATTACTGTATGGCTCTTGAATACAATACTGTTTAACAATAACATAGCTGAGACCATTACAGACAAAAAATGACTCAATAATACGAAATCGGAAGTCTTTAACACAATCATAGATATACCAAGTACAACAGGGTGGTATAAGTTGAATCAAATGTATAGGAAGTTGTTGCTAAAAGAGATATTCATATGTTCTATCAGATAATTTTCTATGCTTTGAAAGTTATTATATAGATTTACTCTGTAGTTTATATTGTTCTAATACTTGTATACAAGGAAGACAAAATGCTCCATTGACTGCGCTGATACAAATAGATATATGAAAACAATGATAAAACTATAATTATCATTTCATAAAAACGTTATTTTTAATAAAAAATAATATTAGAATAGGGTTTTTCATTTATAAAAAATGAGTTTGAAGACTAAAAATTCCAACCATTCGTTCATTTATTAGATATATTTCCCTGTTCAATGAAACTTAATGAAAAATAAACTTAGTTTTTTTTGCAGTTTAATTGAGCCATCACATCTAATGTGTATTCAGAACATCAACCAGAAAGTGAGTGAGGTCGAAAGTGCACTTCAATTGAACGTCGTGGAAAACATTGCGAAGAAAAGAATAAGTGCTCGCTTATGAATTCATTGGATTATTCGTTGGCCGAATATTTTTTCCGACGAAGTTGTCTATTCATTTTATTCGCTGACGTCAATGGATAAAAAAAAACAGTCTACATATATTCATTAGTTCTCTGCATTTTTTAGCAAAGCATTTATCAAAATTAATTATGAATTGGTCAAATATTAACTTTCTTGATCTACCTAATGAAATATTATTTATCATTTTAAAAAAACTTGACAATATGGATGTTCTCTATTCGTTATTGAACGTCGATAATCAACGACTTGATATGGTAGTACAAGAAAAAATGTTCACCGAGAATCTCAACTTCATAATAACAACGTCTACTGGTGAAATTTTTCCGATTGCTGATAACATCATTGATCGATTTTGTAAAAATATATTGCCAAGAATTAATAATAATATTAAATCTCTTATTCTTGAATCAGGATCAATGGAACGTATTCTTCTTGCTGCCAATTATGCTAATCTAACTGAAATTAAACTTTTCAATTTCACTGACAAAATCTTCTCACGTTACTTTAAAGGTAAATAACTCTCGTACCGATCTTGAGGGTGTGGGTGAGTTCTCCCTTCTAGATATCCAAACCACTGAACTACATAATATTAACTCATTTTCTTTTTATTTAGTCAACTCACCATTTCATCGTATTTTTCCACAGCAAATTACAGATCTAATCCTTGTTTACAAACAAAGTCATCACATATTTTCAATGGAACAATATACAAACGAATTACACAAAAATATTTTTAATTTTTTCAAAAATCTACAACATCTATCACTTAATGAATCATGTTTATTTTTATCATTTCGTAATTTATCTTTAAGAACTTGTTCTTCTTCAAATCTTAAGAAATTATGTATTGCTGTAAAACGTTTTGATGATTGTCTCGCTTTACTTGATGGTCGTCTCAAGGAGTTGACTACGTTTATTCTTGACATTTGTACTGTGAATGATAATATATCAGCTGTTTACAATATGGTAAGTTAAGAAAATCTCATGAAATTGTCTTGCTCATCCTTGCAGAAGCATATATATATATATATATATATATATTTGTACCATCGAATTCAATAGAATAACTATTCCAAAACGAATGAAATAGAAATGTAATTTTTCTTATTTTATAATCGATCTATTTTCTAGGATGATCTACCTAATTTGAAATGCTTTTCATTGATATGTGATTGCTCAGGAAAACAATATGATAGTAAAATTGTACCTCTTCTTCGTCGTATGTTCAATCTTGAAGAATTAACTTTGAATATTATAATTGAGAATCGAACTAGATTTATTGATGGTACTCATCTTAAAAATGAAGTTTTTGCTCGCATGCCATGGCTTTATAAATTTACTTTTCATATCAGTACCGAAACTAAACTTCAACATTTAGTTCATGGCTTATCGAGCGATGATATTCAACAAACGTTTAGTAACATTGGATATAAACAAGTGGCCTGTATCATAAACCATTGTTATACAAATGCAGATTGTCATGTTTTTTCATTACCACCTGTGTTTGATACTCTCCATTCTATTGGTAATACATTTCCCTCCATCGTTTTCAGTTACGTTACGTTTTTACTGATTCACGATGATGTTCCATTCAAGCATGAATTTTTTCTTCAAGTAGCCAAGTTTTTTCCATCACTTAAAAGATTGAATGTTTTGAATATAAAATCAGAGTCACAAATATCAGACAATATTGCCTCTACCGATAATCAATTGTCTTCAATTGTTGAATATCCTCATCTTATTTCGCTTCATCTCGGTCTATCTCATACTGATTATTACGAGCAATTTCTTAATAATACAAGAACACATCTACCTCGTCTAACTCAATTAAAAGTCAATTATACACGATTAACGTTTGTAACAGAAAACTTTACAAGAGATGCAACTCGGCTCAACTGTACTAATGTAAAACGGCTATTGATTCGTGAACAACTAGTACATTCGAAAGATTTTTATATCTACTTTCCTGTTGTAACTTCGTTTTTGCACCCGCTAGATTAATAAAATAAAAAAATTTTTAATATTAATTAGTTTTTCAGTTAAGTAAGAGTATGTGGGGGAATTGGAATTTCAGGTGGCAAAGATGCATGCTAAGTCGAAAAGGACGTAAAACGACGTTGAAGTATTTTTAAATATACTCTAAAATCTGAAAGTGCATGGAAAACGAAAATAATGCTGAAAAATATGAGAACGATTGATTTATTTACTGCCACGTAAGAGAGCTATTCCATGTAAGTTACATACTTTTGACTTGGCAGATGGTGATGAACTCAAATCATAACGAGCTTATTACACAATTGTGTGATTATATTTAATTATCTTTTGACAAACAGCCTTATTATTCATTTGTGATGATGATGAATCTAGTGAAATAGGTTTTTGTAAAAACACTCAATTATTTTCGTTGCTGCTGTTGTTGGTTGTAAAATTGACTGTCACGTCAAGTCATCAAAAGAGCCAAACTTTTTGTTTTTCTTGTGATAGTCAATGATTTAGGGAAAACACTCTTTTGAAATAGATCTTTATGAACTAGTTGATTTTTGTGTAGTATATCACGTTTTCTAAGTAAAGTGATTCTCTCTTTTTTCAACGCAAAATATTTAGTGAATACAATAAACTGGGCAAAGACGACGTGAATCAGATCTTCACAATTATGTCACCATCTTTAGAAATTACATTTACTCTTTTTCTACAATGATGATTCTCGAGGATCTTAGGTGATTCGCATGTAAAAAATTAGGGCAATAATCAGATGAAAATCGATTAAGATGCATAGTTTCGTTAACCAGGGTCGAGATGTTATGACTAGGGTCTGACAGCGTCGCCATGTAACGACAAATATGGGATTTTGACGAGTTGATGTATTAAGACTAGAGACCTGCGGGGAACTCCGAAACCCGATTCCAACTCCGACTCCGAGGGGGTCGGAGTCAATTTTTTTGAAAAACTTCTCGGAGTAAATCGGAGTCAGAATTATAATTATGTCTGATGAAATTTCGCTATTTTATACAACAATATCTTTATTTTTCATATGATAAGAGGCAAAAAAAGAACGGCATCACTTATTTCATATATTGAAAATGAGTTTCAGGACAAAAAAGAAGAAACGAATCATCTTGCAGCTAAAAAATTCGAGAGATCAACTTAACAAAAACATATCATGAATCAAGAAATATTTCAGTATCATCCAAACTACTATGATTGCTTCATCATCAAATTTTGATTGCTTGGTCATAATAGATATTGCTATTGAATCTGCAGATGAGGCTGTGGTTGTTGATGACATTGAAATGGTTCTTGTTCTTCCATTCTCACAAAAGAGCTCTTTTAACAAAGTTAAATTTTTGTTCAAATAACTTTTGGTTGATTTTTTCGGAACCTAAGTTGGTTTTTTTGTCCGATGTAGTATTCTTTGAAGCTGAAAATAATCTTTCGACTATTGTGTCAGAGATTGCCCGTTTCAATAATAAAATTTCGGAGTTTTCCGGAGTCTGAGTCAGAAAATAAAAATTTTCGGAGTCGGGGTTGGAGTCGGGTTTCGGAATAAAAAAATTGACTCCGCAGGTCTTTAATTAAGACGAACTGGATAAGAGTGGAGTAGCTTACCACCACTCTAGGCAAAGATGCTTATTCGCTTCTTCACATGTCCAGAGTGTAACAAATTCATACATAACCAGGGTTGCCACCTGATGAAGTCCAAAAAGCGGAAAACTGATCTTAAAAAGCGGAAAATAGCGGAAAATAGCGGAAAGAAAAGCAGAAAAGCGGGAAAAAAAGCGGAAGCTTATATTGTTGTAGATTTGTGGTGCTTCTGAGAATATTAGGCATTTTTTTTCATATTTATAGGATTTCTTTTTATTTCATCAAAGTTTCAAAACATAAAAGAATGATGGCTCACGGTATTTGTGAACAATAAGAATTGATTCAATAATATCAAATATTATTCTGTACGTAGGTTTG